GTTTAATGGGAAGTAATATAGATTTAAAATAATCTCATATTACCTATCCTAATTGGAGTTCTTAAGAACGGTCAACCAATCAAAATAAACTACGTTTATTTATTTTTTCTGTTTCAGACTGTGTAAATTTATTTATTATTGACACTAATAAGAACCTGGTTCGCTGTGGTGTAACACTTTCATATTTCTTAACGTTAGGAGTTGTGTTTTTTTTAATTAAAACTTAGTTAAATATGAATTTCATTTTTAGCTGCAATTGCCGAAAGATAAAATGCAGTTAGCTCAATTACTCATAGCGTCTGTGAACTCACTGTTTGTAAAAAGTAAACAAACCTTAAATGCTGTTTAATTATCATTTTCTTCGCATATTGGTTTGATTAGTTTTCAATCTTCTTGGCATGAAAGATACATCTGATATAGAATATTATGTTTTTCTTATTTTATTTTTAATACAAATTATATAATACACACCATAATCTATCTATCTATCACCATAATCAAACACTCGCCAGAAGTCTCGTACGACCAATCTCTTTCATGTCTGCAAATGAAATAAATATGCTGGTCTCTCATTGTAGGATACGTAGGCCATCATATTTCATATCTGAGAGGTAAAGGATAATGTTGCCCAAAATACACTGAGTCTTGGTCTTGGTATTGGTCTGGAGCAAGAGTCTCGCAACAGTCTTGTTCTCACTTGCCTATCACTATAGATATATTACTGTAATGTTTCAGGCAGGAGAAGTCTAACTTAACCCGAATGAAAAATTGGAAGAGTCAAATGCAAAAGTACATTGGTTATACCAATTTTGTACGTACAGTAACTAAAATGCTCAAGTATTTTTAGTATTTTTCAATAATGAACCACTGTGATCGAACAAAAAATTCAAAAACATAACCACCTCTCAAAATTTGAGGTTTTTACGTTTCAGGATAAGTAAAATTCGGAAAACGAATAACAATTTTTTTGTCCGTTCGCCGTACGCCGTCTGTTGTCCACGCATTTTTTCTGAAACAACACTACAGGACCGATTTTTTTAAAATTTGGATTTAAAATTAGATGTCACCCGAGGATAATCCTCCTTTATCGACATTTCTATCCGCGTTTTCTTTTCAAGTTGGGGACCGAAAAACCTGCGTTGCTACACGAATGTACCGATTTCAATGAAACTTGGTTAAATTCGTCTTCTTGACGCCCTTTAAATTTATTTATATAACATACTTCAACGAAAAGAAGCTGGAAAAAAGTTACGAAGGATGGTAAAATTATATTCCGAATAACTCAAAAAGTACACACTTTTTGTCGATATTGTTTATGATTATTTAAAAGTATACTTTTTTTTTATCTTATGCCTTGATCGTCTTGAGCTCTTTCGGTCATGCGACGTCTAGGAGCCGAGTAAATATTTAAAAGTTTACGGAATTTGCTAAATAAAAATAATAAATCGTTAAAATTGGACAATTAGGAGCAATGGTGTCTAGATGTTTTTCATATGTTATACTGCAAAGATTATATCCTTTGTTTTGGATTTTGATTTTTGTGTTACTGAAGTAATGCTCATTTTTTAGCATACTAGAATAAAATAGAATAGAATAGAAAATAATCCTATTCTGGGACGAAATTCTGTCCCTTTAAAATAACAAAAAAGTACAAAATTAAAGTATTATACCTGGCCTAAGTAAAAACAAACATAAAAGTAAAAATAAAAAATACTACTAATGATTAAAAAAAAAATGTTTAGTCCAATAATTGGAATTATCTTTTATTTCTTTTTCTTTGTCACCAGGAAGGTAATGTTACTTTAGATGTATAATTGTTTTAAATAATTTGCAGGTTTCTTTCAATTTGGAGGGAAGCGGAGTAGTTTCCACTGCTAAAGGTCCCAGGTTCGAATCCCGGTCGTGGAAAAATTATTTATTCTATTTCATTGGCCTTAGGGCGACCCTTTGGCAAGGAGGCCCTGCGACACATTCAGCATCTACAAAGTGGGTACCCTTAATTAAATAATTGATTAAGAGGGGAAACCTGGCGATTGAGCGTGGTCTCGGACCGATCACAGTAATTTCTATAATAAGAACTGAATCCAAGACCCTTGATGGGTTTTAATGGTACATTTTTTTTTTTTCAATTTTGGAGAGAGAATAATTTTTATATAAACTGATATTTTTATAATTCTACTTAAGAATGATAATTTTATTTTTCATAATCAATATTAGTCCTGGCAGGTGTTTCTCCATTTTGTAATATTTAAGAAGTTCTGCTCTGTATAAGATTGATACAAAATGGCATATTTTGAGAACTATTTGATTATTGTTTTACAAATACTTGTTTCTTCTTTATTATTTTCACTGTTCATTAAATTTTTACAGAGAAGGAAGATAAAATACTAGAAAATGGCGATAGAAGAGTGTTTGTAGTAAAGCGTTGAGGTCGGAAGAGCGAACAAAGAACGCCTCGCTGACCGGGGATTTTCGCTAGCCCTGTTAACTCAGTCTGTCGGGCAAGGTCACTAAATCCCACTGTGCGCTACGGTAGTGCATAGCAACCTCTTCGATTGCCTATGTACTCGGTTGGCAAATAAGTCCTTTCGGTTTTTCAGGATTAAATAAAACTCAATATACTACATAAAATTAATATTAATCTACAATATATTGGCCGTTATTTAATATGTATTTTTCCTATCTTTCCACAAACTGCATAATGCCATGTTCGTAGAATGTCTGCAGTTTATTGTTAAAAAACTGATACAAGTGGTTTTTGATATCATGATGTAATTTCTTTACATTCATGGGGACCGGTAGTCACTTTGAGCTAAGTCTGGTGAATAAGAAGGGTGGGGCAATAATTAACTCTTCAGGATTTTCTCCAAATTTGATGTTACCATATCCGTTAGAAAGCAAAATTGTTGCTCTTCAAAGCCCTATGAATGTTTTTTTAATTTAATGCCTAAATTTTTTATTTTTTTTTAAATCTCTTTATTGATGAGAAATAATACATTTTGCCATACTTAACGGCACTGAGTACTAAAGCTGAGTGAGACCCAACAATACAATACAATAAAAAAAATACAAATAAATAAATAAAAAATAAAAATATATATCTCTATAACAAAGGTAAAAACTATAAAACTAAAGAAATGTAACTTGAAATCGAATTTAAAAAAAAATAATAATAATAAAATAATAAAAGATACAGAAATTAGGAGCAAATTAAATAAGTCATAAGTAAAACAAATAAATATATAAAAAAGAAAAGCATTCATACAATATATAAAAAAGAAAAGCATTCATACAATTTAATGCCTAAATAAGGAATAAATAAAAACTCCTTATGTGTTTTTATTTTTTATCTCTATTTGTAGTTTGTTTAAGAAGGTCCTGTTGATTTCATTTTATTTAGTTTATGTGGTCCTAAATTTCTGTTAAATTTCTTGAAGATATCTTAAAGGCGTATCGGAGTTATAACATTTTTTGTGATTTAAAAAAAAAAAAATCATTGGAGGACCCAAACATTAAGACCGGAAACATAGCCGAGCTTGTGCTAATGGTTTTCTATGTTTGTGTGCGACACATTTAGGGACCGTTGAGTGTCATTGATGTCAGCATTTTCTGAATGAAATTTGGCAAACCAATTTTGACAGGTGCGTTTGGTTAAGGCATCATCTCTATAAATACTTCAAATTTGTCTATGAGCTTCTGCAGGACGCTTACAGTTTTAAAAATAATACAACAAAATATGCCGATAATGAATGATATTTTCTTCCATATTCACAGTGCAATAGCAAATACAATACTAAGCTAGTTTCAACAAGAATTAACAGATGTAGTTGTTGACATATTACAAACAGGACACATAATCCACCTTAGGGATTAATTCATCAGATAAGATGTGTATCATAGTGACATAAAAATAAACACAAAAACCGAAAGGATTTATTTGACAACCCAATATATTATATGTATGTATGTATATATGTATATATATATATATATATATATATATATATATATATATATATATATATATATATATATATATATACACACTTAATTATACACGATTCAATTATTATGCAACTAAAGTAATCTGAGATTTAGGAGCCTCGAAAGATAACCGGCTGAAGGCGGCACGATACTCAGTAGGCCTTACCTTGGTTGTCGTGTTCGCGTTACGTCACGCTATTTCGGCCCTTTTTGTAACCCATCGCGTCACGCCATTTAGTTTTCGGTTCTGTCAGCCTTCGACGGAGAAAAAAATTATTTGTTCACAAAACAGGCTTGGTCTCAACTCAGCAGTATTAATAAATTGTGCACAGGTATAGCTGCGTGCGTATTGGCTAAATAAAGATATATGTAGTAAAATTAAATATATACTTGAACACTATAAATATAACACATTTCTGATTGAACGTAGGCATTATATACTATAATATACAGGGTGTTTCGTAATTGCACGGCACTATTTTAATTATGTGTTCACTAGCACAAAATAAACAGAAAAGTTCATGTTTTACTGTGAGTGAATACTGTAACACAGTTCAATTTATTCATAATTCACTTTTGCAGAACGGACAGGCATGCTTTTAACTTATGGCGAATTACATAGAAACTCTCCCACAATAATCATAAATTGAACCGTGTCACAGTATTCACTCACACAAGAACACACAGAACTAGACATGCAGGTGAGCAACTACTGTCATTGCTTATCGCTCATTTGTTTATCAAGTGATTAAAACCTGTTATTTAGTATCAAACACGTTAAACTTTGTACAGTCAGTCTTAATGTAGTAAATAAATAATAAATCTTTAACCTTTGATATCTGTTTAATAAATGCGTTTGAGATATATGTTAATATGAACTTTTTTGTTTATTTTGTGTTAGTATTTTGTTGTCCCCTAAAATACTGCCGTGCAAATACGAAATATCCTGTATAATAACATATGTTTCCTCACTATTTCCATTGGGTTCATAAAAAATACCCCCTGATGACTAGTACCTCCAATACGTAACCCTCGATGACCTCGACCGCAGCTCAACTGCTTTACATAATTGTCGTAATAGAGTTGTATAATAAGCGACGAGGCTGTGGCTCTTAGGGTACGGCTACGATCTATCGCAAGATGCAGTTAACTAACTGTTAATTACTGGCCGGCAGTCGATTCACTGTTAATTATTAACTGACTTACCGAACGGCTTGATAACTGACCTAGGATCCTCTTCGTGGCCTATATCCAGTCGACAGAAATAAAGCAAGAGCTTGCTGATGAACATCTTCGAGACCTTGGTCCGGAATAAACTTCCCGCTGTTCTCTGTTCGCCTGCCTTTGGGATTGGTCGCTCAGTTGCAGTTTTATCTGAGGTATCAAACGTCACTCGCATCAGATATTGAAAAGCAAAATTTCTAACAAATCGAATAGAAACTGTTATCAATTTGGTGAATTAACAGGGAAAATTTACGTAAAATCACTTAGAAACGACATTTAATAAGCAATAAAAGAAAAAAAAATGCGTTCTCTTTAGACCACAAGAAAGAAGTGAAAACATAACATCAACAAGGTGAGATTAATAATATGAAATATAAATTATAAATAATAGCTCATTGCAAAGAGGATGAAATGCTGAACATTTCCCTCACTAAGAATATACAGGTCCGATTTTTAGTTTTTCAAATATTTTAATCCAAATGCAAAAACACTTCAATTAGTCGACTGCAGCAGACTTTATCCGAGCGTTACACATCAAAGATCTGACGGCTCAATCTAATTCACTCTCCACAAAAAAGTGCAAAACGCGTCTAATGAAATTCTCACTCCAATAAAAAATAAAATTTCTGTTATGGTTTCAATTCAGATCTTACGACGCCACGCCTGGGTTAGCTTGGCGCTAATTACACCTGTGATTTTCTGTAAGTTTCTCAAGAAAAAGCACATACCTTATTTTTAAAATGCTGAATTATAGTCCATTATAAAGAGGATGGAATTATAGACATTTCCCTCGCTTACAGTATACAGATCCGATTTTTAGTTTCTGAGATATTTTAACCGATATGTAAAAACATTTCCTATTAGTCGACTCTAGCCGACTTTACCCGAGCGTTAACACTTCGGAAGACGCGACTAAAGAAGTTTTCACTTCAAAAATTTACGTTTCGGCCGCTAAATCTAACAGCATGATAACGATGTATTATATTTTCCAAAATAAAGTATTGTTTGAGATATCTGATCCGAAAAATATGATATGTAATATAATATTTACAAACTTTGTTGCATTAAATTGAGCTTTTTAACTTCATTGTAGCTCTAAAGGATTCAGATATAATATTTAATTATTGTGATTTGTCAGTATGAAGGTTGACCACTTTCACAATTCCAATTCGAACGTGCCAAAATTTATCTACAACTCATTTTTGCCATTTTAAACTGTTATCTTAATCTTATCATCCGTATTATCAGAGTATTATTATTGCAGTATTATTAATATTAATCTCAGTAGATAAAATGATGTTATAAAAACTTTTTCCTTAGCAAAATCGATTTTTTTTATTAAATCTTCAAAATTTTCTAAGAGTATATATTAATAACAAAATTTATAATATCGAGAAAAACACTTTATTTTACCCTTATACATTTACTCAATGCTTTAATTTCTTCAAATTTTGGCCTCTTTAGGCATCTTCAGTGATAATCTGATTTTACATGTAATTTAAATTTTCATTTGAAAAAAACAGTTCTTTCTTCTGTTGTTTCCTTTTTATTTGTCAATTTAACAGCTGATAGTTTAGGGTTCATAAAAATGAAGCGTTAAACTAGCGAACAACGTGTTTTCATTGTTGTAGAATATTTTTAAAATAATGAAAGTCTTGTGGCCACTTGTCTTGCTTCGATATTTGAACGCCTTCTTTTTGGAGGACCAGTGTGTTAAAGTTGATCCCAACCATATTTTATCATCGAATATTTTGTATGAAATTTTCGAACTGTGGCCACTAGGCTTACATGGTTTTTAAAATATTGTTTAAAAATTAAATCAGGTAGCTTGTATAACGCTCCATTCTGACTAACCCTACTATCAGCTTTAAAATTTACAAAGAGAAAGATATCAAAAGAAGAAATAACTTTGTTTTAAATTTGATTTATATCTTGCGTTAATTTTGCGACACCCTTTAAAATCATTGAAATATTATTGCTTTAAAGGGAATCACAATAATAAATGAACATAAAATACATTCTCTAAACATAATTAGAAGCAGGGGTAGCTCGATTGGTAAGGCACTGTGCTCAATCCTCTATAACGCAGGTCGTCTTGATTAAATAATTAATTTAGGGGGTGGGACCTGGCATTTAGTGATCTCAGCCCAATCACCTCCCTGCATAACTGTATGCCTTTAAACAGTACCTTTAGGTAGTACTGAACACTTCTACTACTTGAACTCTATTTTTTTATTTAGAAACATTAATAATTGAATTACTTTATAATTTATTTATAATGTTAAAAGATAATTTTAAGAGTACTTTAACGATATTCAAACACCTCCGCTGTAATGGATTAACCACGGTGCCGACTGGTTAGGAAATGCACTCTTGACAGCTGAAGGATTGGGCTGGAGTTGACCTCGTGTGAGTGTGTGTGTGTAGCGAGGTATTTTTAGAAGTGTGGGCATCGCGGTCCGCTATACATGTATCGATATTACTTCATCGATTAGTTGGACGTAACATCGAATGTATTCTTGATACATGTAAATATTTAAATTTCATTTTGGGAAGAAGACACGATTAAACCAAGTCGAGTTTAATTAACTATTGAAATCAACTTACCTGACTTCTTTAACTTACCTATATATATATATATATATATATATATATATATATATGTTTTGTTTTTTTAAAGACTATCTACCTGGACATTTCTAACATACGAGAAAAGAGGATGGTGTTATTAATACAGTGATCACTTACCTTTGTATGAAATATGTATTGTAAAGAAAAGTATTGTGATAGAGAAATTCCTAAACCGACTTTTCAACAGAAATATACGATTTAAGATTCCCTGAGTCCAAAAAAATCTCTAAAAACAGCTTTAGTTATTCTGTTTTATAACTTTAATTATAAGAACACTTTGAAATATTACATATAATATATTTGAAAGAGGTAATATTTCAAGAAGATATCATCATCGGTTTGTTACAAAAAGTCACTACATACATTTTTTATGGAGCTGATTTTTCAATACATTTTTTCTGAATTTTCGCCTTAATTTTCGATAAAAGAACACTTTAAGCGGACCGAAATAATATGATTTCATTTGTATATGAAATATAGTTAAAAAATGTGCATAATGTTCTGTTTTCACAAAGAGAAAATTCATCAAACTTCTTAATGATTATATTTTATGAAATATCACTTAATGAATTTTTCCAGTTAACTGATGAAATCATTCTCTCAAAAATCGGCACGCGGAGTCAGTTTATTAAGTTATTTATGTATTAAGTACGTAAAATTGTAGGTAAAAATTATTAAAATGGTATAAAAGCACATATAGTCAACAACAACATCTGATGATTAATCCTACATAATGATGGGTGTTATTGTACAATATACGGTGGAACGAGATGGTATTGTACAATATTCCTAGATTTACCATAAATAGTGTTACAAAAGTTGAACTTGCATCCTTAGGTAATCCTTATTATCAGATTATTTGTTTACATATCGGGATAATTATCACAATTAGTTTGTATTTTTCTTTATATCAGTTAACATGGAGTGGGTTGTTAAAGAAACCCGACCGCCTTACACAAAATTGGAAAATGTAGGTCAGAGATTTTCTACCCGTTGAAACCTTTGGATATCAGCCGTATGTTCGTTCGTGTACCACACTATAAATAGATATACTGAGACCCTATCTGTATTTGACAGGCCTCTACCTGGCCGTCCCCGCACTGTGAGAACGGCAAATGCAGTGAGAGCAGTGGCTGCTCCAATCAGAAGAAATCCCATTCGAAAACAACAAACCATGTCTCGGAAAATGGGAATTTCTGTCAGATCAATGTCTCACATAATAAAAATCGGCCTCAGGATGGGTGCATTTCGAAGAATGAGTGGATTGATGCAAAGTTCTCTTAAGCCGTTACACCAATGGTCTTCATCGAAAGATTTTATTTAGTGATGAAAAAAATTTTACAATTGAAGAAAAATTAAATCGGCAAAATGATCGTGCATACAGGTCTAAAGAAGCCCAGGAAGTCAGTGGAAAGAGGTCATCAGCCTTCCTCAGTGATGGTGTGGTGGGGAGTTTGCTTTGATGGCACCACAAAGCCCCATTTTTGTGAAAAATTTAAAACAGCCGCTAAAAACTATCAGGATGATATTTTGGAACCTGTTATCAAGATTCTAAATAATACTCTGTTTGCTGGAAGTCATTGGGTTTTCCAGCAGGATTCCGCTCCAACTCACAAGACCAGGTCAGCTCAGCATTTTCTGCATAAGAACATTCTAGAATTCATCTCTGCCTCGGATTGGCCCTCAGGAAGCCCTGATCTCAGCCCACTAGATTATCTGCTTTGGTCCGAACTGGAGAGGATGGCATGCCACACACCCTAACTTGGAAAGACTCAAACAATCTCTGGTCCGAACAGTTGATTGCTTTCATCAAGAAGTGTGTCGTGCTGCTATTGATGACTGGCCACGGAGATTAAATGTCTGTGTCAAGTCAAAGGGGGACATTTTGAGTAATTTTTGTTTTTTTACTCTCTATGGATATCCATTTTACTTTCTGATTAAGTTTTTGAAAAAATTAATTTTTCTGTTGAAATCTGTGTATATTTCCTGGTAACAATATTTATGACATGACTATGTACGGTGGTACTAGATGCTATTGTACAATGTACTGTATGAGTGCAGTAACAGCAGCTCCATTCGCTAATTAAAACTACATATTGACGAGTGACGTTAGTGCGAACGGAAATAGCTCTAGCCAAGCCGTTCAAATGGTGGGTGGCCAATATTAAAAGAATTCTGCTGCACCCGCTGCCAAAATAATCTTCTCTGATCGAACGAACTGTACTTTTTCAATATTGAAATGGTCTGTAGATATTGAATAATATTATAATATACTATATAGTGGGCAAAGCTTCGAAAGAAACGATCAACATTTCTATAAGTATGAAAAAGAACTAACAGAACGTCTCCGTGACCTGTCACAAGTACTGATAAAGTAAGTGGTTCGAAACGTAGGATTTCTATGAATATTTTTCACTTTTTAAAACTATTTCTTGATCACCACTCCGTTCCAGGTCTATTTTCTTATTAAATATCGAATATTTTTGTGTTACATATTTATTTTTTTTTAAGCTCTATTTGTATTCTCTTACTAATTTTTTCACA